TGGTTGAAATCGTTTCTGAGTAGTATTAATATGACTGCAATAACTCCCATTTTAATTTATGAAGACAACACCGGTTGCATAAGTGTTGTAAAGAATCCAAGTAGCCACAAAAGATCGAAACACATGCATGTAAAGTATCATTTTTCTAGAGAGCAGGTAGAAAAAGGGTTAATAAATGTGAAATATGTTCCAACAGGTGATCAGCTATAGCCGATTTACTGACAAAACCGTTATCCACCACAAAATTCAAGAAATTAAGACCAGGGCCGGATCTTCAAAATTAGCAAGTCAAAAATCAAGTGGACTCGTCAAAAATTCAAATGGTCTCGTTAAAATTCAAGTGGACTCGTCAAAATAAGTCTCCTTTGAATTTATCCTTCAGCGCTCTCTAAGTGTTTTCTTTGATCTCCTCTATCGAGTTGAAACGTAAGCTAAGGAAACAGATAAAAGTCGCAGGGAGCTAAATCTGGACTTTACGAGGATGCGGGTATGTAGGATGCTGTGGTTCGCTAAAACTGTTGTACAAGACAGGAGGAATGGGCCGGAGCATTATCATGATGGAACATCCAGGCACCACTTACCCGCAATTATTCAGGACGTATTCACCTGATAGAGCGTGTTCGGCACTATACAACTTTGTTGTTGTTTTTATAAGAGCATCCCCAGATAATTCTCCGAGGGCATTCCTAGAGGTTGCCTTTTAGAAGAATTGAGGGGAAGATGAGAAAGGCGAGAAGAAAAGAGATCGAAAGTGAGCGTAGAGCAGAGGAAAGAGGATAGCTTAAAGCTGACGAGGGAAGAAAGTTGCATAGGAGAACTATGCAACCCGCAGTGAAGATACAGAGGTAGAGTGGGAGAAAGAGAGAACCGTAAGATGTGAAAGAGAAGAGAGAGAGAGAAAAGAGAACGCGAGAATAGCACTAGTTCACTGTGAATAACATCCCTAGCGAAATCCCTCTAAGGAAGGATGGCTCTGGCGGATTTCCACTTGAGCTGTCTAAACTACACTTACTACTAAATATCCTAAGCGAATTCGCTCGAAGGATGGCTCTGGCGGAATTCCACCGGAGCTGACTAAACACCTATACTTACCAAGGTACATTCTACTACAGGTATGGACAAATTGAATTTTAGAAAGTCGTCAAAACGCGTAGATTTGACAGCATCGAGAGTACGACTGCGGAGACCTGCGCGGCAAATGGACGGTACAACTTCATACGTCACTGGATCTCCGATTTTCTCAGCGCTGCCACTTCGGCTATACTTACTGTATCTTCTTTGGAGCGTTGTGAGTATGCGACTTGTAGTCCAGTCAATCTAGCATTTTTCTGGGAAAATCTATACATAGAAGGTTTTTTTGCGGAAACATGTTGCATTAGGCTACCAGAACAACATATCAAAAGTTTACCAAAATCGGCCGTCCGCTAAGGCCGCCATCTTGAAAAAAGGGGGGGCGGGGGGCCAAAATACGCCGCCGGCGACCGGTTTTTAGCTTATATCTTGAAAAATATCGATCCCACGGAGAAATGTCACTGAACCTTTTAAAAAGATCATAAAATTTCCTATTTGAAACTTTATACATTTATCAAATTGCGACTTCTGGTTCGTGAGATATGGCGGTAGTTTCCTGCGGCTAGGAAAGTCAAATCTTGCGAGAAATCGCGTTTTTTCAACAAAATCTGTTATTATCTTAAAAACGGCGAGTCTGAGGCAAAAAAGTGTTCTCACCGGAATGAAAGAGCATAAAATTTCCATGCTAAAAATGATTATGAATTCACTAGGGGGTCCGCCCCCGGAGCGCTATGCGATCCGAACCAACGGCGGCTACTATGCGGTGAGGCTCGGCTTGGCCGCGCCATGCATTGTTGCGGTCCAAGATGAAACGGCTTCACTTTTTTGGTAGATTTACGGCGAGGGTAAGTCATATTATCCATTTAAATATGTGCTAAT